GTGCACCTTAGTCCTCAAGCTGACATCTTTACTCTTCAACAGTTTAAAAAGGTCTTGTGCAGCAGAGTTGCCTAATGCAATACGTCATTTGATTTCTTGACTGCTGCTTCTATTAGTGTTGATACAAAACAATATAGGCAGTCCGACTGATTACTACAAGAACAAGCAAGTTGCTCGCCCAGGAGACATCAAGGCAAGTGCTTGGGTCCCCTCAGGGCAAACTCCCTTCCAAGACTTAAGACTCAGTAGGAATACATGCTCTGATTGGTGACTATGTTGGTCACTGATAAGGGGAAGTAAGGGAAAAACAGCAATGAAGCTGCGAGCTAAGCCCTACAATATTCAGTATACCCCTGTGAACCCGGATGGAGACCTGGTCAGCCAGCAGTGTGGCAAGACATGGGGACTCTTGGGCTCAGAGTCAGTGTCACAGCCTCAGAGGACTAGCATGGAGAGTGAAGCGTCCAGCTGATAAGAAGAGATGACTTGATGATCAGAGCTCAACTAGAAGAAGAAAGAAGTGGGAAAAAGAGTAATTTGATACAATTTGATGAACTTGACCTACACCTATGGATGCAGTAGCTCAAAAGAGGGAACAAATCCTTAAAGTGAGGCTCATTCCCACCCCCTCAACACACAGGGTAAACGGGGATGGGCATCTTGGACATTGGCTACCCAAAATGGGGAGGGGGAAGCTACAAAGGCAAGAAGTAACTGGGTTACAAGCTTTCAAGAGGGAGCCTAGATCCAGAGGGCATGGAGGAGGTAGAATCTCCACTGACTAGTATCCAGTCTCTCAGGGCGGGGCTGATGAAAGGAGATGCAAATAGGACTCTTGTGATACAATAGTGAATAATTGTTATCAGGACTGATTGTGAGGGTTGGAAATGTAAAGGTAGATGTTTTGTAGCAAAAGGTGGGGTGTGATTGACTTTGCAGTCTAGGAGTGAAGGTCCCTGGGACCATCAAGGGAGAAGAGCGGAGAGCAAGACCCTACCCAGAGAAGCAGTGACACCAGAGATTGAGGCAGAGACGATGATGTGGAGAGATGGAGTGGCTGGGGACTTCAGATTCAGAGAGGGAGAGGGGTTGTGTGCTGATGACTGGGGCGTGGGCTTGCAGGGTACCATGGCAATGTAACAATATATGATAGGATGAGTGTAAAGCTAATGTTCTCCCATGTAAACTACCATATAATTCACAATAAAACATTAAAAAAAAAAAAAAGAGTCCTAGTGTTATAGTGTTAAGTTTCAGACTGACAACCAAAAGGTGGACAGTTTGAACTCACTAGCCACTCCTGGGAGGAAGCTTTGGTAATCTGCTTTTAGAAAGCTTGTTGTTAAGTGTTGTTGAGTCGGTGCTGACTTATGGTGACCCTATATAGGATTTCCAAGGAGTGGCTGGCAGGTGTGAACCATCAGTCTTGCACTTAGCAGTCCAGTGCTTATCCAGGGCCACACCAGGACTTCTTATAAAAATTGCAGCCATGGAAATACTATGGGGCAGTTCTTCTGTGTCCTCAAGGGTTCCTATGAGTCAGAATTGACTACAGGCAATGGGTTTGGTTTCTAGTTTGATTTCTTCCAAAGCAAACAACCTCTCACAATTTTTTGCTTCTAAAATACAAAACTGTATTTAAAGACAGAGTCTAATATACAAATCTTGAAATGGAAGTTTTATATATTTTTTTAACTTGGTACCTTCAATATTTATAATACATTCTTGCAGTTTAGTATGCTGTTTTGATTAGATTCTTTTCTTAAGAATATTTTCTTTAGAACAAAAAATATTTTTTAAAAAACAAAGGGAATTATTTTTTAATGTGTATCTTACTGTTATTGGATTAATAGGCAATCTTAGGCTTTATTCTTGGCTCCTTTGTTGCCAAATGATAACTTTAGTTAATAAAGCAAACAGTAATGTTTCACTTTTACTTTGAGATAAGATGATGAGACTGAAAGGTGATAATATATTAAAGTCAATATATATTTTGAAAGTATTGATAGCAAGTTTCAGTCAAAATTATTGATATGGTGGCTTGGTTAGAGAATCAAGAATTAATTTTTCCAAACAGCTTCTACCTCTTTTAGACATATGAATAGCTTTGGTCGTTGATACTAAGTGATTAAAATATGGTCTTTTTTCAGATATCTTCAATTCATTATTCTCCTTAATACTGAATTGGTTCTGTTTATGGTATATGATCTGACACATCAAAGTGAATTTTCTGAAAAATGTGTTTTCCTTAACCATAATAATGAAAAAGTTCAGCATATAAAGGATAATTCTTTTAACTGGTTCTACTTTTTCCCTTTCCTCCTATCTGTTGTAATGAAGACTGTTAGACCTATGCAATATTGTTGTTACTGTTGTTGTTAAATGCTGTGGAGTCAGTTCAGACTCATAGTGACACTGGATAGGATTTCTAAGTAGTGGCTGGTGGGTTTAAACCACCAGCCTTGAAGTTAGCAGTCTAGTGCGTATCCTGCAGTGCCATAGACCTAGACAGTATTATACTTGAGGTATGGTATTCATATAAGTGGAGTTTTTTATTTCACATACAGCAGGCATTTCACTTATATTGATTAGCTTGAAAAATCACTGCTAACTAAAGCATAAAAAATTTAAGAATATAATATATACTCTAAAAATATATCATATAATCTTAAAAAAAAAAAAAAAAGCCCTTTAGCTTTCTAAATAATCCCTAAAATCAGTTTTGTTTGTTTGTTTTTAGTATTCTTCATCAGTCCCTAATACAATGTTGATATTAAGAAGTAAACAAGAAAGAATCATTTTAGTCTTACTCTTCTCATGTATTTGGAAGCTGTGGTGAACTCAAGATGGGGAATAATAAGACTTTTCTGAATATAGGGAGTTAGTAAGAATATTGGGAGATCACCAGGATCCTATTTGAAAGCATAGGGCCCCTGTAATTTGATATTCTGGAATCCTGGAAGCATAGTCTTTGGGGCAGTAAATAAAATTTCTGTCAACAGCCAATTTAGAATTTAGGGCAGGGATAAAATCTCCAATATATGAATTTATCTAATATCTTTATCTTTTTATGGAACACATCAGTAGATTATATAGGAAGTTTTTTTCATTTATTTTGCCAGTTCTTTTTGAGGGTGGAAGTTATAGTTCTTCTTTTATGCAAATCAATAAAAAGAATTCCCACTGCACCAAGGTTTTAAAATATTGCCATCCCCTGACACACACACTGAGTTGATTCTGACTTATAGTGACCTTAATAGGACAGAGAGAACTGCTCCTTGTTGTTGTTGTTAAGTGCCATTGAGTCAGTTCTGACTCATAGCAACCCTGTTATATGTTTTCTGAGGAGCATCTGGTGGGTTTGAACTGCCAGTATTGTGGTTTGCAGTCCGGTGCTTTCACTGCAGTGCTACACCAGAACTGTTCCTTAGGATTTCCAATATGTCAAATCTTTTTCCTGCAGAGCAGCTTTGAGCAACTTGTGGGTTTGACCTGCTAGCCTTTTAATTAGCGGCCCACTGCACCACCAGGACTCCAGTGTAAATGACTCTAAATTGAATGTTGTTGAGATTACATTGAAAATACTTCACTATTAAGGGAAAAAGTTGGATTCACTAGGCTGATTAAAGAGTCACAATGGGCATTGTTTATAAAAGAGGTGGAAGTGCTTGGAGAGAGCGGTTTATTATTGTAGCAGTGGTCGTTCCTAAATATAAGATTTGGGTGATTCAAGTGGATTTTAAAGAAATTAAATAAAATTTACCTTTTTCTATAGTACTTTGGTCTCTGAGTAATTACTGTGGCTCAAATTTAAGACTGTTTTACATATTTATATATTCCTCTGTTTCATTTTTTAGGAGATTTTATGAAGATGGAGCAATTGTCTTGGGTGAGGAAGCAAATATGCTTGCTGGAATGCTGCTTGGACTCAATGCTATTGATTTCAGGTACTGAATCTATTCAAATACACTACTTTTACACTACGTATGCTTTCAGTGTTTTGTTTCAGTATTGATATTTAAGTCATGTTTTTCCCTTTCAAATGACATCCAAAACTTGAATAATTTTAATTTAGCCTTGCTTTGTAGCTTGGGTCAAATGAGAGCATATACTGCATCTGCCCAAGCAGAAATGTTTGTACCATGGTAGTATTGATGTGGCGCTGTGGGCTAATGCACTGGACTCCAAGGTCAGTTTGAACTCCAAGGTCAATTTGAACTCCATGGTTCAAGCTCATCAGTCCCTTCTCGGAAACCCTATGCAGGGTCGCTGTGAGTAGAAAGCAACTCAACAACACTTAACAACAGCAACAGCAAGCACTGAAAAAGGTTTGGGGTCCTATTTTTTTAGTATTTTTGAGCTTCTGCTTTAAAATGAAAAGAAATAGACTAAAGTATATTCAAAGCTTGAAAGATTTTCATCTCATATGATAATATAAAGAAGATTCTGC